CAGATGTCATGAAAGTATAAATGATCCATAAAGAAAAATGTCCAACTTTCCAGCAGTAATATATTTTTTTTTCTTGAGTGACCATAAGTGGAACTGCAGTGTTACTTTTTCAGCTTCAGCTCGCTCCTCAAAATAAAGTAAAAGAGAAAACTTGCAGTTTCAGTTCAAGATAAATTGGGCTTTATTCAAATCTCAATCTTCTGTTTTATTCAGTCTTTGACTAAGACATAGGCCACGAACTGTTACAAAAAGGCATTAAAATGTTTGACACATCATGTACAGGAGCTCGCTTTACTGTAGGAGAAATACCCAAATTCATTAAACAGCTCAACTAACAGCTGACCAACTGATCAAATGGGTATAAAGAACATGCACATGAATCTCTAACTTATCTAGGGAACAAATCAGTGCTTTCTAACTTGGCCAATGGCTGATTGACCAAAACAGTCACTATACACGCGTACTGTATGCGCTACCCAGAACCTACCAGCATCTCCACCTAAACCAAACTACTGTCAGTAGTCAAAAGACATTTGACACATTGTCTGACTTTCCGAACTGATCACTCTTCTCTACACATAATCTTATTGTGGAAGAATGACATGAACAATCGGGCATCTAATGAGCAGAATGGACTGAACTGAGATTGTCCTTGCACAGCAAACAACCTAAAAGGCTGTTAACAGTTATTAAAACCTACACCAATTAAGTAATGTGAAGTGACTTCTAATAGCTGTTTAGATAGGTGCATATAAAATAGGTGCCTGCATCATGCCTTTGGGGCAGAACCTGGCACTCTTAACTAGAAATGTTCCAGCATAAACTTCAAAGTGGTCTCAGGTGTGCCTTGAAGTTCAGCCCCATAGGAACAAAGGATGGCTGTGTTTGTCTTTGTTGTTGTGGGTTGCTGGAACATCTTGCAGCACAGATTTTCTATTTTTCCATGTTTAGAACCATTTCTACAAATTCCCAATAACTTCCCCTCCCTTGTGTGCCAGCTGGCAACCCTTGCAGTTACTCATTTTTCCAAAGATCCTGTGTTGCTTCAACCTACTGAGGTAACTGTGCAGATAAGGGTGGACCCAAATAGATTTATGATACATCCCTCATTGACATTATTTTACTGCCCAGCCCTTGGAGCGTGAACGACTGTCCTCTCGTCACTACTGAGTTTAATAGCTAATAGACTAACAAACTTCTGAGCGGTAACCTGACTGACTCGCCATTTGATTAACATTCTACATTAAACAGGCCAACTCTTTCACCGTAAAAACTCCATCAAGCATGTTGCGAGCTGCCTAGGCTGTTGCGAAAGATATTTAGCAAAACAGAACACATGCATATCTGTACTTGTATGTCTCATATAAACACCAATTATCCCACACTTACTTGAACTTAAAGGTCTCGCCAAGCTCAGTTGCATCACCTGGTGTAATCTCAAAGATCCCTGAGAATGGGTACGGGTGTCCGCCATAAGCAAACTCTAAACACACAAGAACACACAAATTTGAGCTGCTGATGTAACAAAAGCCATTAGCAGATAACATACAGTTTTATATATATACTATATATAAGTATGTTTAGACATGCCCAGAAGGGAAAACAGTGGTGTGTATATATATCCTGAGCTACAAAATAAGCATCCTCTCTGTAACACTATCCTTAGGCAAATGACTTGATGTAGGCGGAGTCTTATTTCTGGGCAACCTTACCTCTTCCATAGATCTCAATCCCTGAGTGAAAGACTCCGATGCCCAGAGAGCTGGTGAACTCATTGATCCAGTACTGAAGGCAGAAGGAGAAACACAGAATAACACGTTTGTTAAATTACAGTAAAATAATAATGTTTTTTATTTAAAAGCTTTATTTTAGTCTACAAAATGTCAACAAAAACAATCCATCACAATTTCCCACAGGCCAACATGAAAGCTTTTCTTGTTAAACTGTTCAAAATGTAAACATATCATAGTAAAGTGAAAGAAACAGCAACAAGAATCAAATTAAAAAGTATGTGCTAAAACAATGTAATATCAAATTTATATGGATATTCTTCAGGAAGAAGACAAAACCTCCCCCTCACTGAGGTAGAAAGAAGGAATGAGGAGTATGCACAGACAGCTCCAGGGCATCTCTAAATCCTTGCTGTTACAGACAGACAGTGAATCATTGCATAACTACAAGTGATAGTTCAATTTTTTGACCTCTGAAAGATGGGAAATTCCTTCAAAATGTAGCCTCCACTGCAATAAACCCACAGACGGCAGCTGAAAAGGCAATAAGTTTGACATCCTGCAGCTCTGCAAACCTTATTACTGAATTGTCATTGTCCTATTGTACCTTGGCATTTATCCAGTCTTCATATCAGAATAATCAAATTCAGCTACAAAACACATTTACAGACTTTTCTGTGGGAATTTATGACCACAGTGCAGATGTTATCCTTGATGCTTACACAAGATTTCTTTACGTGCAGACAATGACAGTCAAGCTGCACAGAAATGAATCAATAACTGCTGCACTAATCTTTGAAACTGCTATCCATCTTTTCTGTAGTATGTCTGCTAAACATTGTGTCTACAAGGTGATTGGGCAGACTGTTGCTAGGCAGAATTTTCACTCAAAAACATTATTTTATCACAAAAGATGGAGCAGAGAAGAGTGTTGGTGAAGCATCTCAGGAAGCTGAATAATAATTTTTAAATCTAATATTTGTTCATACCTCAAACAGCTTTCTACTGCTTCACTGTGCCACGTCATCAGTTAATTGATTATTCTCTTGGACCTGATCAATTTTAAAGTTTAATGCTGTTGACGTTTCTTCAAACCAAATCAAGTGCTGATCAGCATGATTAAAACATGCCAAGTTTACCAAGAGCAGTTCCTTTCTGCCAGTGCACTGTAACAAAGGTGACAGATTTCTTACCATGCAAATCTGAGACATTTTTTTTTGTAGACAAAGTCTACAAAAAATATACACCTACACAGTCCTGTGAAAAACTAATTCTGATTCTTTATTTCACCCATTATGTTGCAGATTTGCTGTTGTGTTTGGGATTGTTGTCCTGTTGTAGGGCCGCCACAAACGATTATTTTGATAGTCAACTAGTCACCAATTATTTTTGCGACTAGTCGACTAATCAGATCATGCATCTATTGGACATACAACGTACAGCTTATTGCACCAGCAGCATCTGCTCTTATATATAACTATCATTAGCTTACAGATTTGAGTGTTTAAGGTATGTGCTAACTAAAAATAAAGACAAGATAATAGTTTATTAAATTTTAATGAAATGGCGGCTGCTGTTGTTGGAAACTTACCTGGGCCGCGCTATGAATTCTGGGACACAGCTTCTTCTTCTTCGGGGTTTAAGGGCAGCTGGCATCCTTGTACATGCAGTGCTGCCATCTACTGTTTCAGTCCATTATTACACGCTTAAATCCTACTACTTATTCCTGCGTGTTTTGGGATCTTACAAAGCTTCAAACGACGCTTCGACTGATTTTGATAGTCGACGTAATCGTGACTAGTCGACTAATCGTGGCAGCCCTATCCTGTTCCATGACTTAATTTTTGGCTGAGCTTTAGCTGCTGGACAAATGGGCTCACATTTGATTCTAGAATTTTTTGGTATACAGAGGAATTTGTGGTCAACTCGCTGACTTCAAGATTCCCAGGTCTTACGGCTGCCAAACAAGCCCAAATAATCACCCCTGTAACACCATGCTTGGCAGCTTGCTCCTGGTAACACTTCCAAAAAAGCCATACATGTCTTTTTTCTAACTGTACTGCCATGACCTTTAACAGTTAACTGAGGCCTGTAGAGTCTGAGATGTAGCACTTGGATTTTTTACAGTTTCTTTGAGCTCTGTGTTATGCTGACCATTTAAAGACATCAATTCTGACATTAGGAATCTGTTGAAATCGATTTTAAGTATTATTTGGATTTGTATATTATATTAGAGCTTTCCATCTTACATATTTGAGGCATTACATGTGTTTAACCAGAGTGACAATAAAAAACTTAATTACGTGAAAATGACGTTTTATTAGTGTGTACACACAGAGGCTTTCCTTCTTGACATAAAAACAGCTTCCAATGCAAACTACAGTTATCAGGTATCACAGAAGACAGCATGCTATTTAAAACAGTTATCACATTTCCTGTCTGTCATTATGCAAATACATTATGTAGCTGCTTAAAGTCACTTGTGGCAGAGCTGCTGGTCTCCGCCACATCTGCATTGCAAAATATAACCTCTGTGGAATGTAACAGTTTAAACACCAACTGATCACAAAGGCTTTGCGGATGCTACCTGCTGGATGCCCTTCCGAATGCAATGCTCCCTGTTTTTCCAGTCTTGGGAATGGAAAAAAAGCACTAGGAGTAAACTGGATGTATTCTTCAACTCTACTAGAATATCTAAAACAGTTACAGTGCACCTTAAACGATTTATCCACTATCTGATGTGCTTCTTTCAATTTTTCCTTATTTGAATTCAGATGGTTGGGGCTGCGTGTTCACAGCCAGAGCTCTGTGATTGTGATGACCATACTAGGATATCCTCTCACTGACATCATACAGAGCCAAGAGCATCCAAATGCATGAAACCAAGCTGAAACCTAAGCTTTAGGCTTATAGGATAACTTGCACAGAGCCAGCCATGTTAAATATGCACACCCACCATTGTAACAGTATATGCGGGAAAAAATATACAGTGGAACCCCGACTTACGAATACCCCATTTGACGAAAAATTCAAGTTACGAAGGCACTTAACAGCAATATTTCTGCTCGTGTTACGGCAAAATGCCCGCATAACGAAATCCGCTGGCTCTGATTGGCTGAGCCCAGAATGCCTACAATGCCCACAATGCCTTCCGAATCATGTGACAACCCCCTTGGCTTTCGTACTTGCGCTTCGCTGTTCCACTTGAACAACATATTGTTGTTGCAGTTAGCAATTAGCCTATAGCCTATCGTTCACTCAAAAGGCGCGATGGGTGCTTTGACTTACGAAAGACCCTCAGGAACGAATTAATTTCGTAAGTCGGGGTTCCACTGTATACACACACACACACACACACACACATATATATATAAACACAATTTTACACCCTTAAACTTTATTGAGGGAACTGACTTTAAAACAGAATCTGCATTCTGATCAAATACAACATTTACTGAGGCTTTGGCACAACTTTGTTTTTTCAAACCCACATTTCAAACTTGTCATGCTGCTGGGTTTCTGTTTCCTGAACTATATATGGGTCAAATGTTGCACAAAGAAAGCCACAGCATGAGTCTGTCAGTAGTTTTGTTTGAAGAAGCAAAAATGCCACTGTATATCCCCATTTTACCAGAGTCCAGCTACAGCTTGTGCATTTAGAGCTTGCAGACGTATCTCTCACTATAGAGACCTTTTTGATTTTGATAAAGGTCAGTAATAAAGGACCAACATTGAGTCCAAAAACTAACACAATAAAGCATCGAATTTTTCCATTTCCTAACATTACTTCTGGTGGGGTTTTTCCCACCAAAGAGTTTCTCACATCAGCTGATCTCCTACGGATATGAAATCATGTTTGTATCAGTTCTGGAGTGGTTTCTTTGAGCCCAGGAACAGCAGCCATCTGTGTGTGCACCAGCTGGTTCTCACTGACTAAGAAGTCTTGGCTGCTGGCTCCTTTTTAAAACATTTTCTACATTTCTGTTACAGTAATGGTGACAGAAGCCAGTCTAGAAACGTGAACACACATCAGCATTTGAGCTGCTAAAAATCAGACACCCCCCCAAAAAAAACTTCCTTAACTGACTTTATATAAGGCGAAACATAAACAGCAGGTTGGTGGACTAACACCCAATGGCAGTGTAGTATGTGCCAATATGTCCTTGTAGAACGTGTGTAGGAGTTATTTTAAGAAAACTAATCTGCATCGAAATGCAAAATGACTGTCTCCCACTCCGTTAACAGGAGTAACAAAGACAAATAGTCTGTTACGCTGCTACTCCTCGCCCCTGTCGGTGGTGAAATAAGACTCTTATCTCAGACCTCATTACTTCAAAGCTTGTTAAAACCTGTGTGCTGCAGAGAACAGGCTGAGTGTTTATGAATGAATTAAAAGACAGATAATGAAAGGAACAGGAGACAGAGAGGTGGATGAATGCTTGCTGTAGTTTGCTCTGTAGTTTCCTTCTGTTTTTAAGTTAAGATGTACACCGCTGATTTGAAAGTGTAGCGGAAACAAGCGGACTGAAACTAAGCTCAAAACAGAAATCGATGGAAGGAAGCTACTACCAGCCACAAGATGGGTTCTGGTGAATTTTACCTTCATCTGCAACAATAGTTTGCTCTAGTTTTACCCACAAAGCTGTCTTAAATCTCCCAAGCAAAGTGCGTTACATTTTTATTTTATTTTTTTAAACACTCAGCAGGTTTACACTGAACTAAGCAATTGATTATTAATAATTTAAAAAAAAAAATCACTGCTGATTCCAAGTTACTGGTTCCTGTGAGCTCTTTGTACTGCTGTCTGTTGATTTTATTAACACGAATAAGCAATTTTGACATTCCCATAACCTGTGGTGTAGCGTTAAGACGTTTGCCTTACACACAAAGGAGTTCAGAGTTCAGATATTGTTTCCATTACTGATAGCTTTAGATTGCATTGTATTAGTTTTTATGTTTGTATATAATAAAGTGAACACTGAGTGAGTGATTCAAATGTGAGGAACTTGTATTAAGAGACTGTTTATTATGGAAATAAAATCTCCAGTTTCATGT